TGTCGCCTGCTCTAAGTCTCCCGTGAAGACAGCCCCGGCCAGCAGTTAAGTTGCTGAGTTGTGAGGATCTCAAGCCTGCTCAGAAGTTAAGCACTCCAGGCATAGAACAAGATGGGTTTTCAGAGCACTGGTCCAAGAGAATGCAAATTTATTGAAAGCGTTTTCTCCAGGTTTTTCATAATTACCATTTATGTCTCCGGGAACTGTTTCCCCGAACCCAGTTTAGGGTGAAAGCATTTTAAAGACTTTCTCTGCAGATGACATATGAGGTACTAACCTTTTTTCATATGCCCAGATGTTAAGTTCATTTTCATCACATTTATGCAAATTTCATTTGAACAGTAAATCAAAAGAAATCTTAAATCATTGTACACTATTTAAAAATCAACACTAAATCCGGTTTACTTGCAGTGATATTAACATAAAGTACAGCTAATGGACCGGAGGTAGGAGGCAAATGTCACAATCCCTTCTTCCATACAATGGCTGCAGAGAGACAAGGGGTCCTGGCCATCCCTCAGACACAAATGTCTCTGTCTGGTGACAACTGGATTCCACTTTTACTAGATTAAGGATGTTCTGGAAACCAAAGCCTTCTAAAAGTTCTCCAAACTTTGCAAAAACAGAGATTCCCTCAGTCCAGGAGCCTGTCATTCACATCAGTGTCTAGATGAGGCAGAGAAAGTCCAAAGGCAGGGCCTGGGTGGCGATACTTCTGGCAGCTGGCTCCCTCCTCCTGGGGGGAAAAGTTAATTCCTAGGGCTCGCTGGTCCTGCATTTGTCAGGGAGCTGGACGTCAGTGCTATCATTACCAAGCAAATCAGCCAGGCGGTTAATGGTGGAATCAGGAGACATTTGCACTCAGCTATCAGAATGACATCATAACTAAAGCAGCCTGAAGCCCTAGGCTCTCCCTGAGCAGAGGCCAGAGGGCTGCTGGGGGCGCCCCCCTGCGACTCCCTTGGCTGAAAGCTGAGTCCCTGGGCCCTTCCAGGCAGGGTGGTGGGCCCAGCCCCCAGCGAGTTCCCAAGCTAGTCCAGCAAACAGGAACTGGGGTTACAGCCTTCCCCCAAGCCATCGACTTTCAGGTTCTGCACACTATAAATAATAATAATATATTATGTATTTATAATAATTCGAGAGACGCGTAAAGCCACTTTTCTCATCAGGCAAAAGCTGGCATTTTATGAATGCAGCTACATCTTTGCTGTAGAATTTATGGCGTTTCTGAGAGAATTGTCAATCTATCGGTGACCCTGTCTTAAAAAAAAAAAAAGAAGCTCTGCACTCTCTCCTTCTAGCAATAGAAATAGATGTCGCTGGGGGAAGGGGGGGGGGTCAAGCTAAGGGAAAGCCCTTCCTGATCTTGTTTTGGTTGCTTTTCTTCCTTTTAAAGCACAGTCGAACACTGACACAAACGCGCGCGCGCGTACACACACACACACACACACACACACACACACACACACGGAGACACAAACCTTAGAATAATGGGGAAGGCATTTGGCGACAAGCTGCATCCGCGGCGCAGCGCGACGAGCAGCCAGCCCCGCTCGCTCGCAGTTCAGCCCTCCACCAACAGCCGCGAGGACTGACTACCCGCCCCCGACCGGAGATGCCCAACTCCACAGCGTCCAAGAGATCGCCTCTCCGGTCTTGCTACAGGTACACGCGTGGCCCGAACACCACACCTGGCCCGAAAAGTCGGGAGACAGGGAGGAAAAAAAAAGTTGTGCGAGCAGCCAGCCCGGCAGGTCGGGAGCCCACAGATGCTGTCCTCCCGCCGGATAGCGGCTCTCACCAGAGGCCGGCCGGGCAGCGCGCGGCTCCCGGCACCCTAGCTCACCGGCTTTGCGCGCTAACCTCGGGGCGCACTGAGGCCACCGCAGGGCACTTACTTGGCACTTGCTTTTGAGTGTGCAGGTCGTCGCGGCTTTCACTTGGGTTTTCAAACAAGTTTCAGGGAGGAAGAAGGAGGCAAAAAAAAAAAAATCCAATTATGCAAATGGACTCCGGACTGGGAGGCGCGCGTTGGATCTGACGCTGCTACTGTACGAGTTCTCGGAGCAGCCCCGGGCCGGCAGATTTATGGGGGCGCGTCACGGCTACGCCAGGTCCCGCCGCCGGAGCATCTCGAAGTTAATTAAAGCGGTAATGTCCACTTTCCTGGCGACCCTCCGTGCGTGGGTTTACTATTTCACTATCAAACCCGACCCCAGCGGGGTCGGGGGCCCGCTACCCCACGCCTTTCCTCCTTCCCTGTTCTTGCTTCCCCCTCTTTTTTCTCTTTCTCTTCCTTTTTCCTCTCTTTCGTCTCTTTAAGTCGCCTGCCTTCCACTCAGTGAACAATGAACAAAGATGTGAGTGATGGGAAAAGATCGCCCCCCCCTCCCAACCTCAGCAGTGAGCAAAGCTGGTCTTAAAGTAAAAATCCAGTTGCTAATAACAAACTGGGAGGGAGGGAAAAAAAACAGTGCGTTCCCAGTCTAACCTCCCCCTCCGCACACACATACACGCACGCACACACACACGCGCACGCACACCCCACCCCAAGTTCACCTAAGCCCTGACTAGGGACTAGGGCGCCAAGGCCCGGGAGCGCGGAACTACCCAACTTGCCGGGAAACAGAGGACACCATGGGACGGGGGCGGCGCTCACTCGGACCAAGATCGCTTCCCGCGCCCCTCCCCGTCTGCTCCCCGCCGTCAGCCCCCTCCCAGCA